GATCAGTTGGTGGCTTGACTGGGTACTGGCTTGTACCAGATAATCTCACTCATATTTCTGATGGTTTGCTGTCTGTTGGTTGGGGGTAATAGGGGTGACTTAGCCACACATCTCTCATAATCCTGTAGGCTAGTTTAGGTATGTTCATAGAGCAGCAAGATTCCAAGAGAAGCAAGGAACTAAGCCCCAAAGTGCAAGTTCTTTTCAAGTACTGCTTGCATCACATGTGCTAATGTTTCATTTGCCAAAACAAGTCACATAACTCACCTAGATTTAAGGAGTGAGTAAATGGATTCTACTTCTTTATGGGAAGAGTGGAGAATTATGGGCATTTTTACAGTTTACCTCAATGTCAACTTAAATTCAGATAGAAAATATAAGAGAAGGCTAAAGAAAGAAAAAAAAAATCAGTGTAGGTTAGAGAGAGCTGGCCTCTTGACATCATTCTCTGTTGGAGAATGAGAAGAGATGTTAAATGCACCTGAGATTGCTGGATAGAGGGAGAAGAGTGCAAAGGGCATAATAAGATAGAGGACCCAGCTTCTATCTATCTATAAAATCTTGAAGATAGGCATCACATGACGTTGCCAAAGGGATGCACTCTGCCCCAGACAACCTCCTACCTCTTTAACTGCACTGTCTGGCCTCTGTTGTGTGTAGGCTCCCCCTGACCTGCAAAGCACTTAAATGTCAGTGTTACTCAGGGTTTTGTCCTTGCTCCTCCTTTATCTTTAGTCTACACATTTGCCCTAGGTAATTTCATCTGATTTCATGGCATCAGCTTCCACCTATTCAGTGATGAAGTCCAAATCTACGTATGTAGCCCTGACCTGTGGCCTCCATAACCATATGTCTCAATGAATTCTTAGACATCTGTGCCTATATTGCCTCCAAGCACTTCAGCCTCAATATGTTCAAAACCAAATTTATTTTCATGCCCAGAGACCCTGATCTTTCTCCTGCTTTCCTGTTTTTAGTTAATGGTTTCACCTTCATCCATTTACCTAAGCTAGAAATCTAACCTCATTGTCATTCTTGATTACTTCTTCTTTATTTACTACAATTCCTGGTGATTCCATCTCCTACATGATTTTATATTCATCCCCTTCAGTCCATTTCCACCCCATCACCTTGGTGTGGACTCTCATCACCTCTCCCCTGACCTCTTGCAGCAACCTCTTAACTGGTCTTCCTCAAATATTTTCACCTGTCTAGTTTTTCGCTACTCCATTCCATTCAGGGACGTTGTAAGACCCAAGTTTGTTCATGTCACTCTATTTAAAAATGTAAGCTGGGCTTCCCTGGTGGCGCAGTGGTTGAGAGTCCGCCTGCCGATGCAGGGGACACGGGTCCGTGCCCCGGTCCAGGAAGATCCCACGTGCCGCGGAGTGGCTGGGCCCGTGAGCCATGGCCGCTGAGCCTACGCGTCCAGAGCCTGTGCTCCGCAACAGGAGAGACCACAACAGTGAGAGGCCTGCGTACCGCAAAAAAAAGAAAAAAAAAAAGTAAGCTGGGTCCCTATTGCCTACAAAGCTAAGTCCCAATTCCTTGAAAGCATGGCTCACCAAGTGCTTAGCAATCTGGCGCCATCTGATTGTACCAGCATCATCTCCTGCCATCCTGCCCCACCCCATCCCCTTTTATCCAACCTCACTGAACTTCTCACTATTCCCCACCAACACATGCCTTTGCACAATGCTGGGCTTTGGCCCATGTTGTTTACCCTTTCTGGATCGCCAGCCCTCTCTTCCCCATCTGATAAATTCTTATTCATCAGCGCAGCTCGTCAACCTGTCACCTCCCTGCTGATGACTTCCCCGAGCCATCCAGAGTTAGTCACTTGTTCTTTGTTCTCATAGCCTTTTGCCCTTTCCTTCGGCAGTGACCATCTTGTGTGCTTTTGGCTGCCTAGGTTCTTTTGAGTATCGGTGTTATGTTTGGCAAATTTTTAGCCACATGAATTCCATCTCTCTGACGTAGAACCCAGAAAACTCAAATTTCCCTTGCAGCTAAGAAGCCATTAAAGGATCTGAGCTCCCTCAATCAGATGTACCTGAATGGAACTTTTTTTTAGAAGTGAGCATTAGTGTGTAAGGGGGCAAGGTGTGGGGCTGATCTTCGGTCAAGAGTGATCAGAACAAGTCTTTGATTCTTGGAATGGCAGTAGCAGAGCTGCCTGTGTGTAGCCCCTACTGTGGAGAGGTGATAAGTGTGGTGTTTGCTAGACCAGCTCTCAGGAGTGGCTGGGCATGTTTGGGCTTCAGAGTCTGGCTCTCTAGCTTTGTGGGATAGTCTGTGAGCCATCTCACATGCCATGATAAGTTAATTTATTGCTTAAACAAGCCTAAGTTTGTCTACTTTTGCAATGACTGGAAAACAGTGAAACACTTTGGTTAGAACATATCAAGTTTTATGGTACAAGTTGTATTTTATCAAGTTGTATTTAAGTGTCTATTTCCCTCACTAGATTAATCACAAGTACTGTATTTTAGGCCTCCTATACGTAGTTCTAATTTCTTATCACTCAGATAAAAAATCTATATTGGGTGCCAACTCTGTGCCATGCACCGTGCTAGTCACTGGGGATATAATAGTAAAAAAGACCCATGTGATCTTTGCTCTTACAAACTAAACAGTCTACAAGATCTGTGCCTGAAACATTCTAGGTATCCAGTTAGTTTAAATACCAATTCATTTGATTAATTATTTCAATGAATGGATATTTACATTTTGAAAATGTAAAAATAAATGAGAAATATTCTTACGTTTCTCTTAGGCTAATAGGAGACACATATGTAAATAAATCATGTCCGTGCGATATGGACAGTGTGATAACTGAAATATGTTCCAGATTCCTTGATGGTAGAAGGGAATAGCATGAAGAATCTGCTTGGAGGAGTCAGGAATGAAAGAATGAATTACTGAACTTGTAATATTTGAGCAAGTGTGCTTGAGAAGATGTCCTCTTTTTTCCCTTTAACTTCTCTTTTCCCTCTTTCCCTCTTCCCTTCTCTTCCTTTTTTCTTGCTGATCCCTTTGCCCTTTAAGATTCAACTCAAGGGGCTTCCCTAGTGGCACAGTGGTTAAGAATCCACCTGCCAATGCAGGGGACACAGGTTCGAGCCCTGGTCCGGGAAGATCCCACATGCCACGGAGCAACTAAGCCCGTGTACCACAACTACTGAGCCTGCGCTCTAGAGCCCACGAACCACAACTACTGAAGCCCACGCGCCTATGCTCTGCAACAAGGGAAGCCACCGCAATGAGAAGCCCATGCACCGCAACGAAGAGTAACCCCCGCTCGCTGCATCTAGAGAAAGCCCATGCGCAGCAACAAAGAGCCAACACAGCCACAAATAAATAAATAAATAAATAAGATTCAACTCAAGGGCTACTTTTATAATAAACCTTTACTGACCACTCCTCTTCCTCCCTCCCAAACTCCTAGGCTGGGTTAGTAATGTTTCCAAACTCCCATAAGGCCTGGTACGTACCTCTACTAATTCTCTTACCCTTTGACGTATATCATCTATGTGTCTTGTCAGTCACCAACCACCCTCCCCCCCCAAGTCAAGGCCTGGCACATAATTAGTACTCAGTAAACTCAATAAATGTTTCTTGAGGAAATATAAATTAAGACTACGGTGAGATAACATTACACTTCCATCAAAATGGCTGAAATTTTAAAAATTGATATCAAGTGTTGATGAAAATATAGAAAAACTGGAAGTTTAAAACATTGCTGAAAGGAGAATAAATTGATACAACCATTTTGGAAAAATTTTTGGCAAAATCGATTGAAGCTGAACATATGCCCACCGTGTTACCCAGAGGCTGAGCTCCTGGGTACATATCCAAAAGAAATGGATGCTTATAGTGAAACAGGTTCACACCAGCTTTATTCATAATAGCCCCAATCTGGAAACACCTAAATGTCCATCCACAGTAGAATAGACAAGTGAATTGTGGTATATTTATATCATGGGAGAGTACACAATAATTTTTTTAAATGAAAAACTGCTATGTGAAGCAATATGGATGATTCTCATAGACTAATACTGAGCAAAAGAAACCAGAGACAAAGAGGTACATCTTGTGATTCCACTTCAGTGAAGTTCCAGAAGAGTCAAAATTAATCTCTGGTGATATAAATTGAAATAATGGTAAACTTTTACAGAAGGGAGGGGTAAGGCAGTGGAAGGGGACAGGAGAGGGACTAAGGTGGTTTGGGAAATATTTTTATAATGGTATATTTAAAATCCACATACAGAAGGATTTTCTAAGGCAATGTCAACTGTCCTTTTTAAAAACATTTTATACCCCCAACCACATAAATATGTAAATATTTGAGTTATATACTTAATGGTTTGTGCTTTTTTTTTTACTATATGTAGGATTACATTGATAAAAATGTAAATATAAAAATAATTAAATAAAAATGAATGTCCTTGAATGAATGAATGAATGAATGAATAAGTTGGGTCTTCAAAGAGCAAAGAAAGAAGAAAGTATTACAGTGTAAGAGGGACTTGTACTGCATAGAATTTTAAAGCAGTACTTGGTTCTTCAGCACTTTATACTCCAATAATGCCCAAAGTGAATTGCTCATGGACTTCTTTTGCTTAAATATTAGTCCCCTTTGCTACTTAACCAGGATTGTGTGGTTAAAAAAGGAAATCATTAACAGTAAAGCAGATGTCAGAGAGGCCTGTGGGACTGGCATTAATTCACAATGAGGGATCTATTAAGCCCTTGGGAACTGGGGAATATGCCTCATTCCCTTCAGTTTTTTATCCTTTTGTGCTTTATGAGGTGCAAGTACAAATTAATTTTTCAGACTCTTGAAGGGAGAGGAGAGGAGTTGGCACCCGTGATTACAAACAGGAACAGAAGCCACCCCTCACATGACATTGCTCAAGACACCTAAAGGCCAGAGTAGATTAGTTCTAATTGCCGAGCAGCCCGGCCACGGGATACGCCTCTCCCCATCCTTCTTTCAGGCGGGGCTCGTGGCTAAGCATTCTTCGTGCCAGCCTTGCGAAGGCCAAGAGTGACCAGCAACTCCTCAGACGACCGATGGCACATGCGTCAGAGGTGGTGTCAAAACCCGACCCGACTGTTGCTCCCACTACAGGGTAGAGGATGCAGCGTCAGGAGACGCGGTTCCCAGGATGTCCAGTAGGTGTCGCTGTCCCGCGGCCCCCGCACTCCTCGAGGCCCGGGCCGGGGGCGTGTCCTCCCTACCTTCGGACTCCGGCGCGCGCACCTCACCTGGGCTCCCGCCCCGTGCCTTCCGCGCCGCGGTCGAGTGGGGGAGCGCGCTGTGCTGCGGTCCCGCGACCAGGGGGCGGGGTCGGACGGCGCGCTGGGAAAGGCGGGCCAGCTTGGCGCCCAGGTGCGTTCTTCCACAAGGGCCGGGCGGCGGAGACGGCAGCATCCGAGCAGCCGGAGGAGGAAGCAGACGAGAAGATGCCACTGTCGCTGCCACCTCAGGGCGACCACGGGGAGTCCAGTCCGTCCAGGACCCCCAAGAAGCACGCCTCTTTACATATTTGGCGCTCCAAGAAGAAACAGCAGCCTCCGCGGTCTGACTGTGGGGTGTTCATTCCGCACCCGCCCCCGGCGTCCCTCGGCGAGGCCAGGTAAGCCCCTCGCCGAGCTCCCCCCTCCCCCCAACAGTCTCACCTCCTCCTGCCCCCTTTCTACTCCTGCTGCGCTGACCCTGGAGTCCTCTCCACCGTCAGCCCGCTCGACCCCTCTCGGAGAAGGGGAAAGGCCCAGGGTCGTTTCCCCCGGCAGGAGCGTAACGGGCTCCAAGGGGGGGATGTGGTGGCCGCTGCGTGTGACCGGGTTCCTCGCGGCTTCTGGCTCAGACCAAGCTCCAGCGAGAGGAACTTGTGCCCACCCATGTGGCCTTTATTTTGACTGGCAAAGACTTTATACCAGAGTCTATACTATCAACTTGCTAACGAGAGCAAGGGTTGTGAAGGGTTATTACCATAACGAACGATGATCGGAGCTCCACCTGGGGATTCTGTAAGACTTGATAGTGGTGCCTGAATTGTGAAGAATCCCACTCTTGCAGTTGTTATATCTCCATTGTCCTCACAGGATCCGATGGAGGAAGAAGTGGGAGGAATGGTTACCCCCATTTTATGCGTGGAGAATCTGAGACCAAAGGGTGAATGGCTTGTCCCCATTGGAATCAGTGGCAGAACCAGGCAGAACCTAGTTATTCAAAGTGTAAATGCCATTGTGCTTTTAAATTCTTTGCCATGATTTTGTGATGATTTTATCCTTTATGCATAATTATTCAATTATACTATCTGAACTGATGGATTCGTTGAATAATCAATTGGATGTAACAGTATTTTTATGGAGTACAGGTGTGTGAAATATTTTTAATGAAGGACAGTTGGCAATATCCAGTATATCCTTCTGTATGTGTTTTTAAAACACACCTTTATGAACAATGAGAATAATATTGTGCAAGATTTGCATTGTAGGAATATTTTTCCTTTGTTTCTAAAAAAAGTCTTAATTTGGAACACACTTTTATTCATTTAGCAAATATTTTATTAACTAAGTGCTGGGATATCAAAAACAATGAGAGTGGTCTCTGTCATCAAAGACTTTTTAGTGTCTTGAGGAGCCCAAAAAGTAAACAGTGGGATAAGTGCTATGATAGTTGTTAGCATAGAGGAGGGGATCTAGGGAGGCTTCCTGGAGGAGGATGACTGAAGCACTTTAGTCAGACAGAAAAAGGGAGGAGCAACAAGTTCCAGGCAGAGGTGCATTATGAGCATCGCCAACACTTGGAAGAAGATGGTACTTTCTGAGAAGTACTTCCTGAACAGGTGGTTCAGGGCAGTCTATGTGTGAGGGCATAGGGAGAGGTGTGCTAAGAGAGAAGGTATTTTTTTTTTCTCATATTTATCATTCCCGGTAGTGATTGGTTGTAATAGAACTTTTTTTTATCCACATAAAGACTTACTGTGCTTAACTAATTGAAATTTCTAACAAAATATGTTACTTAATAATGATGTATCCAACATAAAAGCATTTTTCCTATTACCTCAGTAAATATTTTAAAAACTTCCATAGTGGTGCTTCTTATTTGACCTAGTCACATCATTTCGTATCTATCAAATGAGATAATGCACAGCTGTAAACAATTTATTCAAATGCAAATACTTTTTAGATTAAAACTTAAAATAGGAGTCTTTGTTTCTCTCCTCGAGCTTCATGTACTTTAGTTCAGTCTTGAAGCATTCCATTCTTTCCTTCAGAACTATGATGAACTTTGTACTAACAAATGTCCTGAGAACTAAACTTACTGGTCTGTCTTTGGGATGTTTTTCTAGTTATACCATGTTTATAAATATTTTGTTTACTTCTGAGAGATTGTACCTGTTTCTAGTAAAGAGAGCAGCTAAAGCACACTTAGGTTTCTGGCCCATCTTTGGCCAATGTGGCTCTCTTGAGCCATCTGCCCTGTACGTTCATTTCTGTCCAGGATTTGGAGGTGGTGGACCTCAGCTGGAATGTGCAGCACTCACTGTGGCCTTTGTTTCTACATAACGATGGGACAGTCAGGAGGCCACACTTATCTGCTGGGCATACACGATTAATATTGTGGGCTTTTAGAGCAAATGAAAGTGAATTTATGTCCTGGATGCGTGACCTTGCGCAAGTTACTTCACCTTTCTGAGTCTCAGTTTCTTCATATGGAAAATGGAGAAAAGAGTAATACTAACTTTGTAAGGCTGTCATGAATATCACATGATAATTCATGTGATTAAATGTAAAACTCTTATCACGTTTCTGGACACAAAGTAGAAACTCAGTAAATGTAAAGCCATCACCACCATCACCACCACCACCACCACCACCACCACCACCACCACCACCACCACCACCACCACCACCATCATCATTATTATAAATGCAAAGGTCTAATGGGAGAAATGGAAAAAACAGGGTTGGGGAGGGGGAAAATGCTTCTCTTCCTAAAAGAGCTTTTACCACTCCAACGATGGTTCAAAGTTTATTGATGTCAGATTTCTGTATTCTGCAAATATTTGTGACTTTCAGTGTAGATGTTCTAAAATTCAGTGACCATTGCTTGCTTTCTTTACATAAAATAATTTGAACATGGCTGACTCTCTTCTTGAAATTCACCCTTAGAGGTTTTTTTCAGCTTGGTTTTGGTAAACATGTTAATATGTAATTTTCCATAGAAATAGAGCCTCGCCCTTCTGGGTCAGCCTCATCTCCTGTCTCGTCTATTCTGCTCTTGCCATCAGAGGGACCACGTTGGTGTGTGGAGAAGGCATGGCGAGCTGTGGCCAGACTTTCCTTAGCAGCCATTAGTGGCACCGTCATTTATTAGGTTTTGAATTATACTTCATTTTTTTAAAAAATTTTATTTATTTATTTTTGGCTGCGTTGGGTCTTTGTTGCTACGTGCGGGCTTTCTCTAGTTGTGGCGAGCGGGGGCTACTCTTCGTTGCGGTGTGCGGGCTCCTCATTGCGGTGGCGTCTCTTGTTGCGGAGCACGGGCTCTAGGGGCACGGGCTCTGTAGTTGTGGCTTGTGGGCTCAGCGCGGGCTCAGTAGTTGTGGCGCACGGGCTTAGTTGCTCCTCGGCATGTGGGATCTTCCCGGACCAGGGCTCGAACCCATGTCCCCTGCATTGGCAGGCGGATTCTTAACCACTGCACCAGCAGGGAAGCCCTTGAATTATACTTCATTTTGTAAACAGTTTATTCAGAGTGTGGATTCTCTATCTGGGTTTAAATCCCTGTTCTACTTACTGTGACACTGAGCTGTGTCATCCTGGGCAAGTTATTATCCTTTCTGTGCTTCAGTTTTCTCATCCATAAAAGGGACATAATAAGCATTGTTATAAAAATAAGTTAATGCATGTCAAGTGCTCAGAAAAGTGACTGGCACATTATGAGTGTTCAATAAATGGGAGCTGTTTCTCCTTTTTCTTACTACTATCTTGCCTATACTTTCTTTTTTTTTTTAATAAATTTAGTTTATTTTATTTATCTTTGGCTGTGTTGAGTCTTTATTGCTGCGCACGGGCTTTCTCTAGTTGCAGTAAGCGGGGGCTACTCTTCGTTGCAGTGTGTAGGCTTCTCATTGCGGTGGCTTCTCTTGTTGTGGAGCACAGGCTCTAGGCATGCAAGCTTCAGTAGTTGTGGCACGCAGGCCCAGTAGTTGTGGCTCGTGGGCTCTAGAGCGTAGGCTCAGTAGTTGTGGCACATGAGCTTAGTTGCTCGGTGGCATGTGGGATCTTCCTGGACCAGGGCTCGAACCCGTGTCCCCTGCATTGGCAGGCGGATTATTAACCACTGTGACACCAGGGAAGCCCTATACTTTCTTTTGAGTAGTAATTTCATTGTTTATTTTCTGCTAGAAAATAGTTCTTCCTTTTTATTCTCCCTAATCAAGACATCCAGTGTTATTTTGACTAGAAATGGGCTCTTCTCTAAGGTCAGTACAGTGAATTAAAAATGATCACGCACGAACTGAACTGAACTCGAAACCTAGAAGCAAGCATTAATGCTCTCTGCAGGGAAGCCAAACTCAGGTGATGGCTGGGCTCCATAATCCTCTGAAAATCAGCAGACCTGGTTTCATTTGGAGGAAAAAATGCAGCCAGAGCCAGAGAGCAGAGCATCCTCATTTCAGGGTACATATGTTCAAGTTTTGGGACTGTCAGCAGTCCCTTAGTTTTTCTGTCCTGGCATGGACCTTTTCCTTCTATAAAGGGAAAACAACTTACTCCCTGTTTATATCACTAGAGTGTTGTGAGGATAAACTGCTGTTTTATTCCATGAGAAAAAGAACAATAAAATGTTATTTGAAAGCGTTCTGGAACTGTAGAGTGTTAGTCTTCGTGACTTAACTGATTCTAGTTTTCAGTCTTTTGTGGCTGGTTTAGTGTTTAGAACTCTAAACAGTTTTAATTATTTTCTAATATAAAGGGCATAGCTAGATAAGCCTAAGTTTGTTTTACCTAATATTGCATCTAAACTGGTTAATACATACTGGGTTATTTCCCTTATTTAGCTTATGCCAAAGGCAAGAGTTTGAAATTTTAAGTTTATGTCGTTTCACCACTGATAAAGCAGGAATTTAAATTTTAGCCCTGTCACTTACTAGCGGTAAGCTCCTGGGGAAGTTTCTTTACTGCTCTAACTTCAGTTTCATGATCTGCGACCTACCTCTTAGCATTGTTTTGGAGACTTCTAAATATATATTTACAGTGACTAGCACAGTGCCTGGAAGATAACAGAGGCTCAATAAATAGCTCTGAGAGCACGCTGCAGTGAAAAAGGCATAGACTGTGGTGTTGGACAGACTCAGTTTCAAATTTGTCTCTGCTATTTGGATAAGTTTTGCTAAGCGTCAGCTTTCTCTGTAAAATGGAGACAATAACACTTCTCTTCTGGGGCTCTCTGACGGTTAAATACTATCTATGTAAAACACCTGGCCCAGGGCCCAACCCGAAGCAGGTGCTGGACAGATGAAAGGCGACGGGAGTGGGAGTGATTGTGGCAGTGATGTTGTAATTGTCGTTGTCTGCATAGTAATGGTGGTAGCATTCATAAATCCCTTTGTACTTTGTA